TAAATGTGACAACAGGCTTGAATCTTATTTTGGACAGATATTTTTGAGCTCTCTGAATTTAATCCAGATTTACTAATTTATTATCAATACATGAAACATTAATATGGATTAAACCTATATATTAAACTTATTATATTTTATATTACATTATATATATGATTATAATAGATAGAGTAGCTGAACTATGGCTTGCAAGCTGCTTGCAAATCTTCTAGACCTTACTGCAGCTCACATATAATTACACAATTTTCTTTTATAAACTTGATACATACTAATTACATACATGTAATACTTTTGTAAAATAAATATTTTCTTTACTAATAATTCATGTGCAATTTATATAATTTTTAAAATTATTGTTTCCTTACGTTAGAAATGAATAATCTTACAGTATAATCAAAATGGGTTTGTAATAATAAGTGCAGAGCTGAAACGGTTGAAAGTTGAAATTTGATACACAGTTAGGGTATGTCACAAGAATGTTCACTAAGAAGGGATTTTTCGAAATTCCCCCATGGCAGAGAGGGAGAGAACTAAGGCTTATCCTAAAAAACCTAGCTTCTACTGTACTATTTTAGATGCAATTTTTTATTTTTAACTGTGTTTTAGTAGGGCATACCCTACTAAAAATTAAGAATGCACCCTAATAAAAATTTTATGGGGAGAGGTGGAGGGTTAAGGATTACCTTGAAGAACTCTGCTTCTAATGTACAATTTAAGATTCAGTTTTTTGCATTTTTGACTATGTTTTACTAGGGTATGCCATGAGAATGCACATTAAGAAGGGATTTTTGGAAATTCTACCCCACCTGAAAGGAGGAGGAGAGAGTTAGTTTTAGTCAGTATAAAGTGTAAATAATAAAGAAGGAAAGTAAATAGTGGCACATATAGTATACATTTTGGCAATTAGTAAATATTTTAATCATTTCCACTTTTCGGGTAACTCAAAAACAATATATGCAAAATAAATGAATTCATTCCAAATTCAAAAAATTTGAAATATTGAATTTGAAATATAATGTTCCACGCAAGTTTTTTTTTATAAAATCGACTTACTTAAACCACTGGAGCATTTATGTTCCAGTGGTTTAAGTAATTAAACTGGAGCATTAATGTTCTGTTATTCCGAACATTTTTGATGCCCCTTCTGGGCTCTTTTTCAGGCTTCTATGTACATTTGTTCCAAGCTGGCCATTAAATTTCGAACTTCATTTGAAACGTATTCGATTCCGGACGCCAAATGCGCATGCGTTCCAAGTTTCAATGAAAATGCACACAAGTTTCAATTTAAATCCAATAGAAAATCAAATGCTATTGTCCAGTAAGACCTGCCATACCATAGAAAGGGACATCTCCTCTTTAAAATTAATGCAGGTGGTCCTGCATTCTGCCTTAAATAGTTGCATTGCCTCCGACCATTTGAGGTATTCTGGATGCAGGGTGGTGAGGATGATACAAGCTTCGTTAAAGTCCGCTGTGATATCCGGGTCCGTCGCACAAGTCAAAAGGGCAGTTGCACATTTATTATGTAGTATGTCGGACTTATGCTCCTTTAATCTTACCCCCAAAAAACGTTTGGTGGAACCAACATATATCATTTCTTTATTCCGTCTGCCATCTCTTATAGGAACATTATAAATGCCCAGTAATCTGTCAGGATTAGATTGGTCTTTTTCATTACATAGCATGTTGAAAATGGACGGGCATTTCCTGTACACTATATTGATCCTATGTTTCTTTGCAATTGCAGTGTATAATGATTTTAATGTGAGTTATAATTGAGGGGATCCTCTTTCTATCCTCTTCCCTTTCATTTTTCAGTATTTCCGTCAGACTAATCTCTGCTACTTGTTATGTTTGTAGTGTTCACATAATCTACGTATAAGGTTGGTGTATCCATGATCAATGGCTATCTCTTCTATATTCCTTATTTCTTGTGCTAGTGGCCTGTATGATGGAAGAATGCGTGAATGCTCTCCGAATCAATGCCCTAAATGCTTTTTTTTTTTATATGAAAAAGGATCAGGTCATTGATTCAGGTTCAGGGCCAGGCTGTTATGACATGGCAATATCAATGTGACATCTTAAAGGAGCCAGTGGACAGGAAATGTCACCTATGTGTGACTAAAGACGAGACCACACAGCATATTATATTAGGATGTAAAAAACTGGCCGGGACTTGTTATGTAAGATGTCATTATAACCTTGTCCAGTACGTCTACTAATGCCTGGCCCGAAAACATAAAATAGAAGTTGCTGACCAATAGTGGATGGAAATATTACTCCAGCCACAAGTTAAGGAAAATACTTTGGCCAAGATACTATGGGAAATGCCTGTCCAAACTGATGTCACTGTATCTCACAATAGACTGGATTTAATTTATGTTGATAAAAATCATAATAAAACATTTTTATTAGATATAACTGTACCATCAGATTATAACATTGGTGCTAAAGAAATTGAAAAATTGAGTAAATATCATTTTCTGAAATTGGAAGTTAACCACCTGTGGAATACACAGACAACTGTTGTTCCAATAGTAATAGGAGCAACAGGAATAGTAGCGAAAAACATAAAGAAATACATAAATCAATTAGAATCCGACATTGATATTAGTATCCTTCAGAAACAGGCAGCTATACACACATCGTTTATACTCAATAAAGTGCTTGGAGATGCTATCTTTGAGGTCTATACAGCAATTTCAAGGCATACAGCAATCTTCAAATCCACAGCAATCATCAGATATACATCATTCATTAGTTAATCCGGATTTATCTAATACGACTTTTGAGACTAGTACACAAAGCTCATCTGGAAACTTGTTGAGAAGAGGAAAAGGGAGGAGAAGAGGAACTATTTGCATGAAAAGTGCAACTAATACAGTAAAGGGGGAAATAGGTACCTTCTTTCCCATGGGTTACGGAATGAGGTATTCTTTATTCCGATGTAATTCGTGAATATTTTATTGCAATAATAATAAATAATAATTACTCTCCAATGGTTATCACCTGGTCGTGGTGGGAGAGCCCAGTAATTTTGCTGATCCATAGGACAATGCAGGCTGGAGCACAAGCTTCTGGTAGGGACACCCATGCCAGTAAGGTCTATGGGGAGAAATGAAGCTAAGAGTGACCACATCCACATGCAGAAAATGTCATATCATGCCAGAAACTATACAACACATTACTTCTGGGTGCAAGCTCTTGGCACAGACAGATTACTTACACAGACATAATCAAGTAGCAAATGTAATACACAAGAGCTTGCAAAGAAACACAACTTGGTAGACATTCACGAACCATACTACAAATACATTCCACAGACAGTATTGGAAAACAACATGCACAAACTGTACTACGACAGAGCCATAATCACAGATAAAACAATTTATCACAACAGACCAGACATCACACTCGTTGACAAACACGATAAAATCACATACATTATAGACATAGCCATTCCAAACACTCACAATGCACAAAACACATGTACTGAAAAAATTAGCAAGTACACAGAACTCGCCCAGGAAATAAGGCGTCTGTGGAGGATGGATAGGGTGCTTATTGTACCTGTCGTTCTCTCCTATACAGGTGTGATACCACACACACTACACAAAAGCTTGAGAACATTACAATTGAATAGAAACACATACATCACACTACAGAAGGCCACTATATTGAATACATGTCATATTGTTAGGAAATTCCTGAATACAGACACTGACACACTTATTTAATTTTAGTTTTTGGTTGTTATGCCTTGACTGTTGTCTGGCATAGTACACAGCCACTGGTATCAACTGAGTATAACTCACTAAATACTGTATAATAATAACGTTAAGCATAGAGCCCAAATTGTTAGGAGTTGAAAAATGAAATTTAGTACACAGGGTGCGTGATGAGAATGTACACAAAGAAGGTACTTTTCAAAATTTCTCCCGCAGAGGAGAGGGAGAGGTTTAGGGATTACCCTAAATTCAGATTTTATTGTACTCTTTTAAATGCAGTTTTTGCGGAAAATCTAACATGTTTTTAGACCCATCTAAAAATAAAAATTTTCTAATTAGTCTCTGAAGAGGGTGAACCTAATTCTTGCACCAGGTAAAAACAGATAAGATTGGCTATAATCTAATAATGTTAATTTTTGCTATTGCTATTTTTTGCTTGAACAATGCCAGGCTCATCTGCTAGTACTTCATACTTTTGTGCTAGAATGTAATTAAAGTTGTTATGTTTGCTGGGTATAATTAGTACATATATAGACTACAGTGTATTTAACAATCCTGACAATGCAACTACATTTTCATAACAAATAAAAACATTCGACTGGTAAAACTGTGCATTATATAAAGCAGTTATTTTATCACACTTTTGCTGTATATACACTGGTCCTCCCAATTCTGTAAGTAATTGGGATTGAGTAAACCTTCATGAACATTGAATTCTTGAACTTTTATTTGAATTCTAGAGTTTCATTTTCAATGTTAAATTTAAATTCATTTCAAGGCTGTATATTATTGCTATTTTAAAAAATTATCAGAATAAAAAAAAAGAAAAGATTTTATTAAAAAAATATACTGTGCAATGGTTTGTAGAACTGCAAAAGTAATTTGATTTTAGCCAAAAGAAGAAAAAAAATAGCAATTTATGAAAGACACTATACAAACGAGTGTATGTACTAATCTTTTAGCATTGTACTGTACTTGATCAAACATCCAATTTGCACAGGCACAATTCCAGTTGGTGTCTGTCTGCAATATTATTATTATTAATGAAGACATTCCAAAAATGTTTAATAATTGCATTAGCCATTTTAATTTCTAACTGTTAGAAATTAAAGTGGTTAATGCAATTATTTAGGTTTTTTGAAATGTATTTAGTATTCAGCACTGCATTTTTTTTTATTAGTTTAATATTAATTTCATTACAATAATATTAAATTTTATTATTATAAATGATTATGACAATTTAACTTTTTTTATTTTTGATATTTTTAGGAAGTAGGCAACATGATATTTAGGATGAAAGTAGATAAATCTGAGTTTATTCATTGACAGTAGGTAAGTAAAATAATCACTTATGTTTTAAATTTTAAGGTATTTGAGTAGAATTTGAATTCAAACATAATGTCAATTGCTAAATTCTTAAAAATTATTCTTTGGTTTTAATGTTTTAATGTTATGTAAATTTTGTGTTAAAAACAGTAATAATGTGAAATTCATAACATTCTTATTAAAGTTTTTCAAAAATGATTTGTTAAGATATCAGTTTTTAGTTGTTGTCTGTTCATAGTCTTAAAGATGTAGTTTTTAAATTTGTAAAATTTATTATTGAAATTTCATATAAATGACACACAGACAGATATATATATTTTTTTGCATAGAATTTATTTTGATACAAAATATGCCAATATATGGATTGAAATGAGAATAAATATAATAACTCCACAAAAAATTTTTGCACCAAGTCACTCTCCAAATGAAACACACAAACTGGCCTAGTTCTCTATCATGCTATAAATATCCTTTTTCATGGGCTGGTGCATAATTTCACACATAAAGTACTGAAAATTTTAATCACAAAAATATCTGTTTATATCTTTCTAGCTTTAATGGTATATACCCTTTCTGGGATTGCTAGAACAGAAATAAAACATTTGCATAACTTGCCCTATCATATATCCCAACATCTGGATCAGGCATCGAAAGCATGCCACTGGTATGCAGTTACCATCTCAAATATTAAAGCCTTGTGTTGTATTACACTGAATTGTGGATTACAGTACTTAAAACCTTAGTCATTCTCAGAACAGCAATACAATTTTCACAATTCGGGAATTAAAAACTAGAAATTGTTCACTACCTTTTTTTTAACTTTTTGAATTGTGGATGTAATAGTAATGGGGGGGAGAAAACAGAATACTGAGAGGGAAAACCCTAAATTGAAAATACATATTCTTTTCAAATGACAAGTTTTTCATGATTTCATTTTTGTTTTGTTTATCAAATAGTAATAACAACATTAAATTAACTTTTTGCCAAAATAGTTATGATGTAATGTACTCATTGTTTATAGAATTAAAAAACTTTTTATTCAAAATTGCAAATATTTACGATAGCTTACAACTATCCTTGTCAGGGTGATTAAATTGGAATCAAATCAAACAAGATTTTTCATACTAGAACAATAATAGTAATGAATAAAAAGAAAATTTTAAGAAATGAGACTTTGCAGTTGGAAATGGAGATGATGATGAATCCATGGACAAAGTCAATAAATATTTTTTGGATTTTAACACACCAAGCTCACAAATAGAACAGAGACTAACAAAGGAAATTAACATCAGATTAAATTCAATATTTGCAATGCAAAACACACATTTAAAGTAATAAATGTGTTATTCCAGTATTCACATTCATTTAGTTGTATGTTGACACACACAATTGTGCAGGCATACATACAATCAAATAAGTGTGGACACACCATCATGCATACCTGCAGACATTCACAATTAGAACAAGAAAAGAAGTTGAAGAACAACTAAACAAGAAGTTAGATAACTAAAAGAACTTTACAAGAATAACCAGTGTGGTAGTGCTGCTGAGCTATTACAGAAGTGTGGAAAAATGTATGAAAGAACTATATGCAGATGTCTTCACACAATGGGATGTGTGCCCAGTAAAGCTAAAATAACTTTAAACCAGTTATTGTGCTATCCAGGAAATGACTAAAGTAGGCAAAAGACATAAACTGGAGTCTGTGTGACAAAACATGTTAGTCTCAGATGAAAGCTGAATAAGTATTGGATTTGGTTGTGGTATCAATCAGATGAAAACCAGATGAAAAATTGAAAAAAACAATGACCTGAAGTCTTCAGTTAAATTTTTTATAGGAGTGATATGGAGCTTCAAGAGAAATTTTAGATTAGGTAGCATATGTATTTTGAAAGTACGAAGTCAGACATTTATGTTGATGTTCTTAAGCATAAGTTATTGCCAATTACTGGACCTTTGAAGATGATTACTATTTTCCTGCAGGAAAATGCAACCTGCCACAAATTGAAAACATCAATGAAATGGTTGAAATGGTTAAAAAATCATAACATTCCTCCCTTCTGAATGCCCTGATATGAATCCTATTGAGTAATTGTGGAAAATTCTGAAAGAAAAATAAAGAAGCCAAAGACATTGACTGAGCTGAAGGAAGCCATCAAGTCAAATTGGAATGAAATTTCTGCTTGTTTAAAACTTGAAAACATGCAACAATGCCAAAGAGGTCCAATGATGTATTAATTTTTAAATTTTATTTTGTCAAAGTTAACTAGTCTAATATTTATGCCAAAAAATTGACTGGTCTAACACTTTGATCACTTCATGCTTTTGTAGAAATATTGATGTAAAGTACTAAGTTATTTTTATGCCTTTTACAACCATTAGCGACACGAATTTGTGCCAAAAATAGCCGTTACCTAACGGGTACTTTATGCGGATTCACATTAATGTGCCAGGCCTGGACTTTAAGCGTGCATCGAAAGAAATAATGACAGTTAGTCAAAACCAATCAAATATTTAATAATTCTAATAATGATTATGTACAAAAATTTAGTAACAATCAACAACAAATTTATTCAAAGAAAAAATAAGAATCAACCCGACAAAACTCAAATCAATCTACAGTGGTGCCTTGTATAACATACTTAATCTGTTCCAGGTGCACGTCCGTTAAGTGAAAAGTCCGTTATACAAAACGCAATTTCCCATAGAAATACGTGTTAAAACATATAATTTGTTCCGCAGCATAAAATAACCATACTGTACCATAAAAAGATGAAAATGGAGCAGTCATGAATTACGCCGGGTAGTCAGATGTTGTGAGGAGGAGGTGGAGGAACACTTTCTTTACACATTCATACAGATAGCCTTTTTACACATTGCAGCAGGTCTCTTTTTATTCTTTTTAATCGGAATCAGATTCAGGAGAGGCTACCGGAGCTTGCAGGGCCATCTCCTCTTGTTCCATTCTTTGTTTTTTGGCAGCTTGCTTCTTGAAAAACATGTCCAAGGTGGTCTGTTTTTCTTTCTTCTTCAACACCTGTCGGATATGACTGGCAAGGGTGTCATTGTAGAGATCATTGATCCTGTTGGCCTCAGCTCTGTTTGGATAGTGAGTGTTGGTAAACTTCTGAACCTCTCCCCATTTGACAAGGAAGTTTTTGTCAACTTTCACTCCTTCTGATGATTTCTTCTTTGTTTCAATTGAAATTACCTTTCTGGTTTTCTAGAAGCCATGATTTGCACAACACTTGAATAAATGTAAATACCCTGCACTGAGGTGATATATGTAATAAACAAGGGAGCAAGCTGAATCCTAATGGGAGCTCTGTACTTCAGATATACTAATAATAAATTCTAATAATACTAATCTATATATTAATATATAAAAATGAATGTATGTGTGTGTGTCCTTTATGCATTACCACACCGTTTATCCGATTGTCGTGAAACTTTGAGAAGTTGTTTAATATACTCCTGTGAAGGTGTAGTACGATTGCCATGAAGCTTTGGGAAGTTTTTTAATACACTCCCGCAAAGATTTTTGGCATTTATCCTACGATAGATGGCACGCGTTTACACGAGCATTCGAGCACTGTGTGTTTGATCGATTTCAAATTGTGAAGACCATTTCCCCCCTTCAAAAAATATCCCTATATATGCATTTGTGAACTGTTATTTACGATATTTGTAATAATTTTTGTTTAATTAATCACTTTATTTCAACTTTTTTTTTCTTTTGCTAATTAGGTATTCGCTTGAACTTTGTTAAAATCTTAACTGTATCCCGAACAACAACCGAAGTTGTAGGAGGAAATTCGCCTATTTTACCTATCTAGGGATCCCCCTTTTACAAATTTTAATATCAACTCAAAATAATTTAAAAAGACAAATTACAATAAAACGGTTTATTATCCAACTATCAGAAATTTCACAACATGCCAAGGAAGAGAGGAAGGAGCAATTAAATAATTAAAATTATAAAGGATTAAAAAATATATATATAAAAATGGGGAATATCGCACTTCTGACAATCGCTGCAAGTATGTGGGCTAAATTTGGAGAATCCGTGCTTCTCGCATGGACAACTGTATGTGGCCGGCTCACGTGTCAGAAAACCTTCTGATTTATTCGCGTACTCACCAGACGGAAAAACAAAAAATATCGTGTATCCACGAACACTCCAATAAATAAATAGAATTGAAACGACACTTTGAAATGTTTTCCTGATGAAAATGAATAATAATAATAAGTTTCAATATTAATGATAAAATGTAAATTGAATTTTATTAGAACGAGTTTGCTTGAATTTTCTTTTTTCTGAGATTGCAGCAATGCACGACGAGTAAGCTAGTATATTATAAAAATAGCAGATTGTCATTGGCAATGGCAAAAGAGTGGAAACATCATTCACACTTGTTTGCAGAAAGTTTGCTGTTTGCCTCACATAACTGCTGAATGGAAAGTCCGTTGTTCGCAGCCAGTCTGTTGCTCGAGTCACGTAACGGCCAAACAGAAAGTTTGTTGTTTGCAGCGTCCATTATTCAAGGCATATGTTATACGAGGCACCACTGTATTTGCTTATTTGCTAACTTAAATCTATTCCCCTTTGGAACTCGACAAAAATTTCAAAGACTTAACTTATGTACAACAATTCTTATGAACTAAGGTCCTAATCATCACGTCAATATACTAGGAACCTTTTTCCTCAACTCTCAAGACTAATCTTCGATCCACAAATGAAATAACTTCAAATCGCCTTGGAACTGCTTTATTGCTATTGGAACCTCTTGTCGTTTGCTGCTACAAAGCTCACCTTGGTCATCTTCACTAGATTCACAAGATCTTCACCTTGGTCATCTCATAGTATAAAGTCCGAACCGGACTTTATACTATGAGGTTACGTCACAATTCTGATCGAGATCATTTACATACTTATTGCTAACAGTTAACTTTTCCTTTCTGCCTGGCAGCCTATTTCCCGACAATTCTCACTAACCTTTTACATT